GTATTAGGGACTATCGATTTGGGGGGTTGTCCTGCTTTAGGTTTTGGGATGGTCTGGGTTTACGGCTGGGGGGGGTCTTGAGTTTTAAAGTTTTGCCGGATGTCTAGATCGCAGGCTCCCATAAAGTTGCTCTTTTGAAGACTGGCGTGCAGACTTGCAGCATTGAGGTTAGCTTCGAATTTCTTCCGGAGTTGGGACTGTCGGGCTTCGACGGCGCTTTTGGGCTTCCTCGGGTTCTGCATTTATTGTGACCCATCCGAATCCGTCGCTCCTGCCTGCCATCAATCAGTCTATATAAGGCACAGAGCTTTGCTGGAGCCCTGAAGCCCCAAGCGATCCGAACCTTCCGCAAACAAGGGCTGAAGCAGAACTGATTTGGGAGTTTCCGAAAATAGGGGACCCTAATATAGTACACTAAACAGTAGGATTCTTATTAAAAGGAGCCCGAAATGAAGTACCCCTAATTTTCGGAAACTCCCGTTTGGCCATCACGGACCTCAGGCCTCCCCCATGCATCCAAACACCTCTGCGATACATATCTGCTGCACAAGATGACAGCTTCAAGGCTTCATGAACCGAGGACAACCTGTACCCCTAAGCCCTCTGCCTCTAAACGTTGAACTCTACGCCGTATGCATGTGTACTCCTAGCTACCCTTCTCTGTTGGATTCGGCAGGGTCTCCGGCCGCGCGCCCTCCCCTGTACCAGACCTAAGACAACGCCGAGAGAGAGTCGGACCATTGTTTCGGGTTAATATCGGGGCCTTCATAATTAGAATCAAGGGGCCTCTAAGGGCTACTATAAGGGATCTATACCATAATATAGGGGCCTCAAGAATTAGAATAGGGTTTTGGGGGTACATTTTACCATAATCATAACAAGGAGCCCCACAATAGTATTGAGGTAATTCTTTAAGCCCCTATGTTAGGCTTTTGGGTTTAGTTGAGAGCTTAGGGGTTGTGGGATCAGAGCTTAGGGGTTTGGGCTTTCGGGTTTAGGGTTTAAGGTTTCTAGATTTTGGGTGTTGGGTTGAGGGTTGAGGGTTTAGGGTTTAGGGTTTTAGGGTTTCGGGTTTAGGAGTCAGGGTTTGGGGTTTAGGCTGAACGGTGTAGGGTGCTGGATCGAGACCAACCCTGCAACAAGAACTACAGTGACTACAGTTCAAGCTTGTACGGACAACAAGAAGAAATCTTCAACTTTGGCTCCCATCGCACCGCAAAGTGAGCATGCAGATCGGGACGAGCCACGGCAAGCCCTGGAAGCAAGATAGCTGTGCCAAACAAAGACTTTCTCCAACCGTAGACCCGTGTCACAGTGTCCTAACCCATTGGAGCGTTGTCCAGGCCATAACCCCTAAACCCTAGGCCTCTAGAGTTCCATGGTCCGAGTGGTTCTCGTGGCCCACACGGCAACTGCGGTAGACGTCACGCCACGCAAAGACTATGGGGATGGAATGGTCACAATCTTTTATGCTATATTTTGTTATACTATTTTTGTACGATAGTGTATTACAGTATATTTTCTTATACTATATAACATGATGTTATGTTAACTGTTAACTTATCTTGTGTTATATTATATCATGCTTGGGCCCCCACTCCCTGCATAAGCTAAACTTAAACCACGAACACTAACGGGCAGCACCGTCGCAGTGCGGAAAGTAAGCAAAGCCACAACGTGACATTGCGACGACAGTCATCATAGAGAGGATGATGCTGCTGATGATGATGCCGACGAAGATGCAGATGACGACAAAGATGAAGAAAATAAGACGAGGATGAAGATCAAGGTGAGGATGGTGGTGATAGTGATGACGATGATGACGAAGATAGGGACAAAAATGAGGACGAAAATGAACGAGGGGAAAGCAAAAATGATGATGATGGTGATGATGATGATGGTGTCGTTGAAGATGAGCAGGACGCTAAGAATAAGGAATGACGATGACACTGATCACGACGATGGAGACAACGACGACGATGACGATGACGAGGAGGACGAGGAGGAGGAGGAGGAGGAGAAGGTGGTTTGAGATTGTGATGGTGAGGGCTAAGACCACTAGCACTGGTAGCACTGCGACGAAGCCGATGACGCCGACTGCGGCAGTGGGAAAGTAGCAGCGGAAGCAGGGGTGGCGATGGTGGCAGTGATATGCAGCGAGTCGGCTGCTGGCTGATGAGGAGCCCCCGAGGATCCGGCTCCGTAAACGGCGAGAGCCCGGTGGAGCGCGTCGAGGTTTGGGGCTTTGCCTGGGTTTTAAGCAAAGTTTAGTGTCTAAAGTTGTTCAGAGTCAGGTTCAAAGACCGTCGGGCGCCACTGACTTCCAGAGCAGAAGAGCCTCGTCCAAGAACACCTCAAAAGCAAATAAACAGCCCTGAAGTCTCAAGCCTGAAGCCTGAAGCCCCAGAAACCTATAGAAATCCCAAAAGTGCAATTGGGCCCTAAAAAAACATAAGCAAAAGCAAGGATAGGGATATCCCATATAAACCCCCGTATACTGAAGCCCAATAAGGTAGGGATATCTCTATAAAATGCTTATGATTCTGTTCCTTTCGCGGTCCCTACTATAAACCCTACAAACTTACGCGGCGTTCAAAGTTCGGAGCGGAAGTTCTGGCCGCAAGGTTCTAGCAGCATTCTAGACAGGTTTCTGTTTTGGAATGTTTCATATATAGATTGTATGTGGAAGGGTTCTATAAGGCTTATGTATATGCTGTTCTACAGGGGTCCGCGTTCCATGGATTCAGGCTTTTTGGGTTTAGGGTGGATGGAGCTCGGAGTGTAAGGTCCAGTGACTAGGGTGTCATGTCATGTCTGGGGCGTGAATTCTGTGAGAATTGCTTCGAGGTGCAGAACTCAGGTGTTGATGCTTGGGACAGAGAATCGCATCATGAAGTTCGCAGGATGGACACACACTTCGAGATAATGTAGGAACCTGATTAAGAAACCTTGGGCCTTTATTAGGGTTCCCCATGTGAATCCTAGGGGGTCATAGGCCCAGGGTTTCTTAATCAGGTTCCTACATTAGCACATTTGAGTTTTGGGCACAATGAAAGGCAACGCACAGGGAGGTAGGACACCCTGAATCTTACACTTTATTTGCCACACTTCGCAGAACCAACGACACTGAAACTTAAACACTAAACCCCTAAACCCCAAAACCCCAAACCCGAAAACAGCCCTAAAAGGCGTAACTGAGGCTTCGGCCCGCCCCCCGAAACAGGTCAAATCGCGTGCACAGCACAGCATCTGACAGACAGCGACGAATGGGGTTTAGGGTGTAGGGTTCCGTGGTCTGACTTCGTACTTCGTAGCTCAAGGCTTGCGCGAGGTGAAGGCTGGCCCTAAAACTCTAAAGCCCAAACAGGGGCCGGAAGGGTTAGTCAGACTGCCTCCGTATAGTACCTATATCACCATGCGATATTAAACCCTCAGAGCATCTTCCACTTACTAAGGCAACTATACTGGGGACATCGGTGCTTCGGTCTGCGATTGGTGGCTCATTTGGTGCAGAAGTTTCAGAACACGGAAGACCAAGTTGAAGGAGATTGGAACGAATCCGCCTTGAAGATATGTACATAGTAGATGTGAGAAAGCATTTCACATTTGTGTGAAAGTACAGCTGTACCTATACATGTACACATGCGTCTATGAATGTATGTAGTAATGAATGAAAGAATGAATGATTGAATGCATGCATGCATGCATGCATCTGTTCATGCATGTATGCATGTATGTATGCACCTATGAGTGTAGTGCAGTGTGTCGAACGATGCAGCATTATAATGTGGTTCACAGTGGTATGATGCCCAGAAGTCAGGTGGTGCGGCGATGCTATAAGCCTGCACGCAAAAGTAGAGAGACAGCGATGCATGTGTCTGGGCAAACAAGGCCAAAATTCGAAAGCTCTGGGTTGTACGTGCAAAATAACTTACTTGAGATGACACTTTCTGGAGCCATCCTGCAGACGCGGGCCCATCTCGAGTACTCGGAAAATCCACGAATCCAGCAGAACCCTTTTTGGAACCCCTACTTCATAAAAGCCTTAAGGAACCCTTGTCGAACTCTTCGTAGAACCTTTACCGAAACCTTTAGAAATGCTATCCTTTACAAAACCCTCTTATCGAACCCCGCATCGAACCAGCAGCCTGAGCGAAGAAGGCGAAGGAGTCCATGGCGCTGGCCAGAGGATCTCTGAAGCAGATGAGCAAAGCTACGCCAAACAAACAAGCTCGGAGCCCAGGAAGGGACGGCGGATAGTCTTCCCCAATGACTTTCATGCGCCTTCCAGGCCTAGCCTAAGTCCTCGAACCTCACCGGCCTAACCGCTAAGCCCTGCCTTATACCCAAAACCCTACACCCCAAACCCTCCAAACCCTGCAACATTGAACTCTTGCCGTCGCCCTTGCTCTCAACTGCGGTCTGCCTAAAGTGGTTGTCTGCTCTACGAAGTTTTAGAAAATTCTTTTCAGGGTTGTCTGAGGAGGGTTACATGATATGGGTGGTTCTTGAAAAAAGTCCTATATAGCCCTAAGCTGATACTTAAACCGTTTAGGGTTTGGGATTGCGGGTTGAGGGCCCGGCTGAGGGTTTGCATGGAGGTTCATGGGTCATTGTAAGTACGGTTATAAGTGGGTCACTATACTTCTAATCCATATTAAGGGAAAGATAACCTTACTTATAACTACCCCTGAACCCTAAACCCTATACCCTTAGAGTGTCCCTATTGATCCCTTCAAAGGACCCTAGTAACCCTACTTATAACTACCCCTGAACCTCCAAGCAGGATTTGGGAATTACTTCCCAAACCTCCCCAAGCTTCCCCCACCGACAGACATACCCGGTTGTGGATTTAGGGTTTAGAGTTTAGGGTTTAGGGTTTAGGGTTTAGGGTTGTGTCCAACGGCCAAAGCAGGCATTGGGCTCAGAAGACGAAAGCCCTAAACCTTACACCATAAACCCTTAACCCTGAACTTGAAAACCCTAAGACGCCGAGGTGCCAGTAGTGGTAGATCATGAAGCCATAGACGCCGTACTGGTCGGCAAGCTCGGCCTGTTTGGAGAAATGGTGCTGGGTTCCTAGAGATTCAAGTTTAGGGTTCAGGGTTGAGGGGTTTAGGGTTTAGGGGTTAGGCGGTGTAGGGGTTTAGGCTTGGGGGTTTAGGGGTTTAGGGTTTAGGGTTGAGGATTTAGGCTTACGGTGTGTATACAGTGTGCGCGTGGTGGGTTCGTTTCTTTAGGAATGGGGGCACACCAACTTATCGCACGCTTGCGTCAGCATCTAGTTCCGCCCAACCCTTCCAACCAATCTCAATTAAGCTTTAGCGCTCACCCTGCAAACCCCCTCAAAGGAGGCTTTCTTGCTCTTTGCTTCCCTTCGCTGTTCGACACATACACGACCACATGTCATAGATGAAATGGATTGGTGTCGGGTTGTGGGTCCTCGGGGTCTGTGCCGGCCACTCGACAAAAAGCAAGGGCTTCCAACAAACAACCCGCCCCTCGCACCTTGTCAGCATTGCCCGTGGTAAGGAAGATACCGTAATTCCCAGAGTCTAGGGTCATTAACCCTAAACCCTACACCCTAAACCCTTAACCCTAAACCCTAAACCCTTAACCCTAAACCCTAAACCCTAAACCCTGAACCGTTTATATCAGCAGCCGTATGACTAATTCTTCAAGCCCCCCTCTCTTAGGACTGTTTACATCCACGGCCCGGCCTGGCGCTTACGAACGTCGCGCTGCGTGAGGTCCTGCAATGGCTCGGGAAGTTTGTGGGGTTTTAAGGTACAGGGTTTAGGGGCTTAAAGGTTTAGGGGTTTAAAGGTTTAGGGGTTTAAGGGCTTTAGGGTTTAAGGGTTTAGGGGTTTAGGGGTTTAGAGGTTTAAGGGTTTATGCAAGCAGTCACTGCTGACGATCCGGGCGAGCGGGTTGAGGGTTTAGGGGCTTGTAAAACTACAATACCACTACCCTAAACCTCTAAACTCTAAGTCCTAAACACATTGTTATTGCTACCATTCAGGCCCCTACGTTAGGGCGGCTTCGCATTGTTTGGGCTCCGGGGCGTTCAGCGTGCAAAGGGCCCCTAGACCCTGTAAGCTCTAGAACCCAAAGCCCTGCTTCAGGAGCTTCGGCTTTTAGGGTTTAGGGTCTAGGGTTTCCAGGTTTAGTGTCTATAGGGGCCAAGATCTCGGATTATGGTGAAAGCTCCAACCTAAGCCGCAGGTCTTATCAGCTGTACTTCCACGCTCCTTGGGACGTACTAAACCCCAAGCCCTTCAACCCTAAACCCTAAACCCCCGAATCCCTAAACCCCTCAATCCTAAACCCCAAACCCCTCAACCCTAGACCCTAAACCCCCTCATCCCTAAACCCCAAACCCCAAACCCCCAATCCGTAAACCCTAAACCCCCTCATCCCTAAATCCTCTTACCCTAGGATGGTCTTTGGGCCCAAAAGCCTTAATATATGGGTAGTTGTCAAAAGTAGGGTCACTTTTTGGGTACACCAATTATTAGGCGTCGTATTATTGCGGACCCAAAAAGGGTCCTTAATTTTGACAACCACTCATATGAGTCCTTAGATCCCTAAGGTTAAAGACGAGGCACGTAGTAGTCCAGGCCACCCTTTTCCGAGGAGAGCGGCTTGCGTAACTCGTTGCTTTCGTCCACAAACGGCTTCCTGAAATGGACGGGGTTACTTGGAGGATCCTGGGACTTAGTAAGTAAGGTTGTAAGTACCTTGATTGGCGTCAAAAGTAATTATAAGTATAGTTACGTTATGTATAACCTTACTTACTAAGTCCCATGATCCTCCAAGTAGTGGTATACGGGATCCTTCAGGGTTCCTTTGAGGGATCTATAGGGTTTAAGGTTTTGGATATAGGCTGTGGGTTTCAGGGTTTTGGTTTTACGGCTTGGGTTTAAGTTTAAGGGCTTGGAATGTTGGGCTTACAGTTTAAGGTGGGCGGGGCTTCTTGGGATGTGGGGTGTGCGGGTCTGGGGCTTGGGCGTCAGGATTTCGGCCTTGGAAGTTTAGAACGTCTGTCCGTTTAGATTAGAAGTACTGACAGAGGCGCGGTCACACAACTGCAAGTATTCCCTGCCGGTACTACTGCGGCCACGACGACAAGGAGGAGGAGAGAAGGAACGTAACGACGATGAGAAGGCTAGAAGGACCGCGAACAGAAGGAGGAGAACAACGACGACAAGCAGGGTGAGTGCGAGGAAGGATGCCCTGCTGCTCATGCTGCAGCTTTTGGCTTGTGATGATGACGAGGGTGTTCATGATCAGTCATGATCATGAACACCCTCGTCATCATAACAACAGAAGCTTCTCCATCGTCATCATCATCACCCCACACCATCATCATAATCATCATCATCACCCGCATCCTCATGATGTCCGCCACCATTGAGACGAAGGTTAGGGCGGTTAGGGTAATGGCTGACGATCATGGTGGCCATGATCACGGCCGTGCTCATGGCGACCACTATGGCGAAGCTGCGCAAGAAGATTTTGTTGATGGTGATGGCGATTCAAATTCATTACCTGGAGAGTCGCTATGCTTAGCCTGGCTGACATGCATGTTATGCTGCTTGGCAGACTCATTCAACGCATGCGGTTTTTGTGCAGGTTACATGTAGTGTAGTGACCCCTAAATTTTCATGCCCAAACCCTCAATCCGCAGAAGCACAGAAATCTCCGAGAAGGCAGCCATTGTGGCACGGCTCAGATGCGTCCACTCCGTAAAGCCCTCGCCGTGGAACTCGTCATTCCTGAGCCACCCCGGATTTGCCAACCCGATGGACTAATTATTTTCCTTCCCCTTACCCCTAGAACTTATGCTTTTCGGCGCTTGGGCTCTAAGGTTCCATTAACTACTGTTGCTCCTGGTGGAGCTTCTGTTTCTGGCTTGTTGTTGCTTGTGTTTCTCCATTGCTTTTCTTTCTCTTCTCCCTAAACCCTAAACCCTAAACGTTTCCTCTTCTTTCGAATCCCCCCAACCCGCTTCCCCTGTGCACTCCTGAGACAAGTGAACCTTGGCCCCTGCTCGGCAGTGAATAAGTAGTCTAAGGGGTTCCTTAAGGGGTCCTGTAAAGTGGTCGATAAGCGCTACTGTTACTATAAGGGCTACTATATGGGTTTGGTATAGGTGCCTTAATACGTAGAATAGGGCTTGAGGTACTTAATAGTCTATTCTATTCTCAAAACGGCATAGCAGTTACTCCACCAGCCGGCGCATGGAATTCGTCTCTTTGAAGCTTTGAAGCACTCCGATTCTCCGCAAGACTCTGCAAAATACATACGCTAGACAAAAGGCCCTGGAACCCTGCACGAACCCTGGAACCAAGAGCGCTAACCCGAAATCCACAAAGCCCTCAGACTCAACCGCTAAGCCGACACTGCAGAAAGCCGGGCACAGGAGGAATTCAAGCTCAGTGGCTCCGGAAATTGGTGGTACTGCGGGAAGTAGATGGCCATGACCTGCTGCGTCGGGTGTTTGGGAGCTATCAACGCGAAACTGTAAGATCCGTGTAGTGCAGCGTAAGGACCCTTAAACAAGGTACTCCGGACTTCGACACCATGTTATTTGCTAAATCCTGCACAAGGACCCACACTCGGTGACTTTCCAGCGTCACCCTACCCTCACCTGTTTCGGGGGATCCTTAAGGGAGGGGCGCGCAATGGTACTCCCTGAGCGTCCCTAGTACCCCACCCCTCAACCCCTCAACCCAAATAAATTCTAAGCGCTCTCAGGACCTACACCCCACACCCTAAACCGTCAACCCTAGAACCCACAAAGCTCTACACGTTCTGAACACGAAAACCCTCAAACCCGAAAACCACAAAGCCCAAAAGAGAAAAAACCCTCAACCCTAAACCCTTGAAGACACCGCTGCCTTGCCTTGGGTGCCATGGGCAGCTCTCCGACGTAGCCGCCAGCACCCCGCAAAGCCTCAGGAGGATGTCCCTTGCTGGGCCTTTAAAGTATAGGGCTGATACCTTGAACTACCAGACTTCTTTGTAGGGTCCCTGCAAGATCTCGATTCGGGTTGATAATAAGAACCTACAAGAAGTAGATTATGGTAGTTTACGGGTTTAGGGTTTGGGTTTTGGGGCTTACGGGGCTTAGAGTATTGGGCCATTTAGGGTTTCGGGCTTAGGGGGCTTAAAGGCTTAGGGTACAGGTGGCACCTCCACCCGACATCCACGCGCTCACACTCACCAACATCATACCCATGGTCGGCACCGACTTGACCACCCTCCGCCGGAGCATCATGATACACCATCAAACGTATCGTCACTGACACTCACACAACAAGAGCGAGTAGCAGGAGGCATAGCTAGATCGTCTTGCTCATCCTCCTAGCCATCCTGCTACCCCTCCTGCGCCTCTCGTCCTTTTCTCCATCTGGGAGCTTCCGAAAATAGGGCCCCAATATAGTACCCTAAATAGTAGGATCCTTACTACAAGGACCCCAAAAAAGGTACCCCTAATTTTCGGAAACTCTAAACCCCTTATAGAGCCCTTTAAAGGAACCCTTATAATACCCTTATAGTAACCCTTTATAGGAACCCTAAGGTACCCCGAATTTTCGGAACCTCCCATCTCGCCCTCGCCCTCAATTGGCAGCGGCAGCGCTGAGTCCCAAGCGGAGACGGCAAAGTTGCCAAGCTCTACCTGACCACGCCACCAAAGACTGGAGGGGTTGAGAATCACTACCCTAAACCCTACAACCCTAAACCCTAAACCCAAAACCCCTACTGCCTCGCTGCCATTTTCAACGATACAGTACAAACGCCGTCTAATTACTTCTGCTGCCACTACTCCGTTTAATACGTCTGCTGCTGCTTTCACCACTGCTACCGGCCATGTACGTTTTCATGCATGAAGGGACCCAAAACCCCAAACCCTGTATCAGCTTATCAATCTTACATTAGCATCTACTGTCTGGTGCCTATGAGGGACCGGGGGAATGGATCCCTATAGTAGTCCCTATATAACCCCCAATAATAGTCCCCATAACCCTCGTAAGAACCACACAGTATCAGCCTTGTATCAGCATTTAAAGGGCACCTCAACCCCCTCGAGCTTCGGCCAGATAGAAGGCAGGGCCTCGGAGAAAAGTGGCCGGAGATGTCAGGGTCTGGGGGAGCTTTGAGGGTTTAGGGTTTAGGGGGAGCTTTCAGGGTTATTGGTGGTTTTGGGGTTAGGGTTTGGGGCTTAGGGCTTCGGGGTTAGGGGGAGCTTTGAGGGCTATTGGGCCTTTTGGGTTTAGGGGTTAGGCTTTTATAGCTTTGCGGCTTAGGAAGAGAGTCTAAGAGGGAGCTTTCAGAGGTTTTGGGGGAATCCGCATTGGGGTTCCTTTGTAAGGGGGTTCCTTTCAAGGTCATAGGGGTTGCGAAAAGGGGGGTCATAGGGGTTTTGGGGGGTTCCAGGGCCTTAGGGTTTCGGGTTTCTCGAGCTCTGAGGATTTAGGGGGCTTCGGGTAGTACCCTTTTAAGAAGGAACCCTAAAACCCTGAAATCATCTTCTGCGGCTGTGAAACCTTTGCCAGACTGCCGAACGGGACGGCGCTGAAACGGGCCCAGTACCTTGTGCTTTTCGAGCTTTCGGCTTAGGGCTTTAGGGTGTAGGGCTCAAGGCTTCAAGGTTCCATGAGGGTTACACGCGTCCAGGACAGATGTGGGGCCGCGTTGGCGACCTTCTTGGAGTGTTTCCTCCCATCCAATTGGGGCCCTGGGCCTCGAGCCCGAAATCCTGAAAGGGCTTAGGGTTTAGGTTTTAGGGTCTCCTGAAAAAAACAGGATCCCAAAAGCTCAGGCCCATATTTGGGTCCCTTTCTGAGAGTCCCGCATGTTGCCACCAATGGATGTCAGCTGGTCCTTGGCCGCAAAGGGAGAGATTTGATAGCTGCCGGTTTTAATTAGTGGGTTTAGGGGTTTAGGGGTTTAGGGTTTAGGGTTTAGGGTTTAGAGTTTGGGTTTTTGATTGACGGGTGGAGGATTTGGGGGTCGAGGGCTCCGGACTCAGAAGTCTCGAGTTCAGGATTTCATGGCTTTACAGGGCTAAGCTTTAGGGCTAGGGTCTGGAAGAGGCCAGTACCCCTAGATTGAGGAATGTGCCTTAAACTACGCAGGGCGTCTTCTTACCGCGATTTAAGGGAGATTCCGGCATTGAGACGGAGTGCTGAGAACTCTGTTTTTCTTCTTCCTTGTTTAGGGTTTGGGTCGATATCGTGGCTGTCGTGCCTACTGCACTGCTCGTAATTTGGACTTAGGGTTTGGGGTTTGTCTGGTGGTTTTTTCAAATCTGATGCTTTTACATACGGCTCAACTGGCAAAGGATCCCGGCTCAAGTACGATTTAGGCTCGGTGAGGGCAAGACAGATAGATGGACGGAAAGTGAATACATCGATCTACAGGCTGGGGTGTAGACATAGGTGTGGTCCGGAAATTGTAGAATACAAATCAGACAGAAAACTGAGATGGTGCTGGCCGCACCTGTTAACAACCCCTAAAACCCTAAACCCCTACAGCCCTAAACCCCTGAAACCCTAAAACCCTAAACCCCTACAGCCCTAAGCTCCTAAAACCCTAAACCCTTACAGCCCTAAAGCCAAAAACGGCTGCCAAGAAGAACTCCCAAAGGCGAGGGACTTCCGAGATCTTGATCTCTGATTCCATGTCGCCGAGAAACTGCTTCGTGGCCTGCAGTCTTCGTTGTGTCAGGTATTATAAAGTATGCTACCGAATATCTATAGCATCTTATATTTAGACTATAACACACTAAACTGTAGTATGTTATAGTATATGAAAGCATATTATAATATGTTATCGTATATCATAGCATACTGTAGTGTATTCCCGCATATTGTAGTCTACCAGCGAAAGTATATTACAGTACACATAGCATATTATAATATATTCCATTATGCTATAGTAGAGCTACGTCGTTCCACAGGGAGACGGGGTGGAGGGGTCTATAACGATTTCGAATTACTGACGTGCGACTATGAGGGTTTCGATACTCAAAGGATCAGGAGACATAAGTCGAGCTTCGCCATTACTAGGATACCCAGTAACCTAAGAATAAAAAGGCCTCTCTTTTTGGTATTGGGCAACTTTATAAGGAACCTAGGACTACAAAAAGGGAATAAGGGTACTACTGGGCATCCTAGATTAGAGGCGCTGACCAGGTTTGCGAGGCTGTAGCGGCCTAAAGCTGATATCCTACACCCAGCTAGTTCATTTCTTTTACCTTGGGCTGGGGCAAGCGACATTCGCAAACTATGTCCAAAAGCCTAAACCCTAAACCCTAAGCGCAACCCCAAAGCTCAAGGACGATTTAGGTTTTGCGAAGCCAAACACCAAGACCCTGAATCCTGAACCCGTGCAGTAACCTTATAAAAACTTAAAAGAACCGTGACCAAAAAAAGAAAAAACGTACTACGAAAACCCGCTAAGGACCCCTAAATCCTGAATTAAACCTCTGCTTGAGATTAGAGTGTGGGGTTCGGTTTTTGGGTGCAGGTCTGAGGGATGTGGGGCAAGGGTTCACGGGTTTAGGGACTTAGGCATGGGAGGGTTTTGAGGGTGTGAGAGGTTGAGGGGCTTGGGGTTTAGGGCTATAGGGTCTAGGCCTAAAAGGGTTCAGAGTGCCCTTAAAGCCCCCCCCCCCTCTAGGAGCTCTCTGTCTCTGCAGCGCCTGCTTGGTGGAGTACAGGAAGGAGCCCCCAACCTGTCCAGACTTAGCACTAGTCATAACAACACTAAGAAGAACAATAAGCAGAAGAGGAAAAGGAAAAGAGGAAGAAGAAGAATAGTAATTAACAATGATACGGCGAAAGTGGTGAAAACAGTTAAAAACAGTGCTACTAAACACAACAGCAATAATCATCACCATAGCAGCAATAGTAATGTTAATAAAAATGCGGCTGATCATAGTAGCTGCGGCTTAGGGTTGGCTCAGCTTTTCGGGCATAGGCTTCCTTATCCATAGGGCCTCCGCAAAACTCTCACGGCTTCCCCGCACTTACACCTTCCGGCGCTTGGGATTAGGGCTTTGGGATTAGGGTTTAGGGCTTCGGGTTCAGGGTTTCGGCGTTAGGTTTACGGCGTAGGGCGTAGGCTTGTAGTTTCTGGATTCTCTGTTGACACAAAAACTGAAGGCCTGACAATAAAGCTTCTGTAGACTCTAGACCTCCGACCTCCCAGAGAAGGCGCTGTCTCCTTTGTAGCCCTTCTTGCACAAGATTATACGAAAACCCATTCACTCAAGGCCCTGCGCTCAGCACATCGCTAAGCTTTCTTGTTTCAGACAGCGGCCCAACGCCAAACAGCTCTAATCCATCACCATCAACCCAACCCTAAAAGCCTAAATGCTAAACCCTAAACCCCAAACCCCTACACCCTAAACCCTACACCCTAAACCCCTACACTCTAGACCTTCAAACCCCAGAGGGGCCATGTACACTACCATTATGGAATTAGGCCCCAAAAGACCATCCCCATTATGGTTTTGGGGACCTAATTCCATAATAGTAGTGTATGTGGACCCTCTTCAAACCACGCAGATTTTAACTAAAGCACCTCGGCATGGCCGCCGAAGAGCCGATCACCTTCACCGAACTAACACAAAAGCTTCAGGGTTTAGGGTTTAAGTTTCAGGGGTTTAGGGTTTAAGTTTTAGGGGTTTAGGGTTTAAGGTTTAGAGGTTAGGGGTTTAGGGTTTAGGGTTTAAGTTTCAGGGGTTAGGGGTTTAGGGTTTAGGGGTTAAGGTATTAGGGTTTCCGAGAGAGCGTTTAGGACGGGATGTGCTTGGGCCTTGTGCCCTTGCCTTTACAAGAAATGTAGGAACCTGACTAACAAACCCTGGCCCTATACTCTTTAAGCTTCATCCAGATGCGGAACCCTAGTATGATCCCACATGTTCTTTAAAGCTTTACGTGTAAAACGTGGATCCTACTATTTTGGAGTTATAGGGCCTGGGTTACCGTCTCCTATATACGTCTTCTAGTAGACTATCTACGAACTGTAAGGCTTTGCATTTGCTGATAATTGCCCCTATATTACATATTCATGTACCCTGGGGCTCAAAATAGCCCAGAGCCTGCTATATAATGGCCATTTTGCTCGAAAGCCTTTATTATGGTCTTTGGGACCAAAATCCTTTATACATATACATATACATATATATATATATATATATATGACCATATATATATATATATATATATGTGTGTGTATGTACATAATATATATATATATATATATGGATTATATTATATGAGTCCTTATTAGAGCCCTAGGGATAGTAGAGCGTCAGGGCAGCCCGTGGAGTCGGTGCGTGAGCAGAAACTCGGGGCGTCTAGGAATCTTGGGCTGGCTCTTCCTTTAAGGCTTCCTTTATAGTACACGAACTCTGTCATTATTACAACTACTAATACTACCACTTTTACTATGACTACTATTACTAGTACTACTACTTGTAGAAGCCAGAAAGTTGGAACATCAGACTCCTCATGCCCTTCAGGTAAAGTATAAGGGATCCTAGCACTAATCCTCCTAAAGCCATGTTCCAACTTTCTGGCGTCTACTGTAAAGGGGGGGGTGGCTTGAAGGATTCCTTTAAAGAGCGACTTGAAGGATTCCTTTAAAGGGGTGCTTGAAGGATTCCGTTAAAAGAGTTCCCTGAAGGATTCCTTTAAGGGCTCTTGTTGAGGAACTTATTTTCAAGTTCTCATAATAGGGATCTATTGTAAGTAATATGGCTTCCTTGCTTTGGTAACTTAAAATGAAATTTCTTAACAAGAACCCAGAACGTGCAACATGCAGAATATATAACATACACATATATAATGTCTAATACAATATTATATACAGTACAGTATGCAACATAATGTTTGAAGTCCAACTGTAGAATCCCAGCTTTTCGCACCAAGCACTAAGACACTGTATAAGCAAAATGCGTCAAGGAGTCTTTTAAGTATGGACAGGCTCTGAACCTAAGCACGTGTTTCAAAACCCTACCACAGGAACGCCAAATGCCGCTCGATGGCCTAGCACCGGTGCCAAGTTAGATACCTGAAGAGAGCGGAGTTCAACGGCGCTTAGCGGGGTTCTTGTTAAGAGCTTGTGTTTCGGGGTTGTGGGGCTTGGGGCGACTGGGGTTGTAGGGTTTTCGCGTTTATCGGGTTCTTAGTAAGGAACTTAGCTGAAGCTAGCGTTTTGCCCGGTATGGAGAGCGAAAGAGGAAGAGATGCATGTATATGTGTAGATATATATATATAGTATGCATATACATGTACTGTACATATATAGAGAGCGGGAGAGAGAGAGAGAGAGAGAGAGAGAGAGAGAGCGAGACTACACAGTCGATAATATGCGTCCCTTACTATTGCAACTTAGAAGTCGGACTGCGACTTGGGACTGTTGCGAGAAATTCAGCAAATTTGAGGTGCCCTTTTCGGGTGGTGCGCTGGGGTTGCAGGGATATTTACGGTAAAGATCCCAACAATATTTCTCCCCTTCGGGAAGCCTCTGCGGGGAGCCATAGTTCGAGGTGTGGGGTTCTATGCAGGGTCTTCGGATTCAATCTTCAAAAGTCCGGACTGTGGGCTTCCAGCTTAGGTTAGTTAGGGCTAAGGTTAAGGGTAGGGTGACTACCTTAGAATGAAAGTAGGCGCTTTGAAAGGGAAGTCTAGAAATTTGCTGGTTTTATACCCTCAGTTCGGCAGACTCCTACAGTGTGGTTCGGGGTTTACCTTGACCCCAAGTAACCTCCCTTTTTTAAGGACTTTCATAAAGAAATCATATTAGGGAACCTAAAAAGGCAGGTTCCTTAGGGTCACAGCAATCGGCTCTTAGGGGCCCAGGTCTCGAATGCAGCATTTTCGCGGCAAAAAATGCTAGGTACCGATTTTTGATAAACGTTTTAATATAACCCTTATTAGCCTTATTGCACATAATCTTGGGGACTGAAATCGACACCACATCATCGAGTCCCCCTAAACCCTCGATTCCTAAGCCCTATACCCCTGGACTCCTGGACCTCAAACCCTGAAATCGACACCTAGTATGGGGCTGAGAGGAAGCATCCGGGCGGCCTTCGTACGTCGCGTCATTGTCGTTCCCACCGGTGCGAGAAGGTTGAGGTGGCCATGTGCATTGAAGTTGTGCAGCACCTGGGATGTACGGTATACGAACGGAATAGACCCTGACAGGATCCCAAACATGGATCCCCTAAGCGGGGTTCCTATAGAGTACCCTTTAGCAGTATAGGGTCCCGAATAAGAGATCTACCGGAAAACTGGCACTTGCTAGCTTCCTCCCCCTGCCATTAGTTGTATGCCTCCCTTCAACTTCTACTGTAGGCACTTGAAACGCGGCTGAACCTGCATCCGGTCAAACTCGAGGAGTTGCAGCATAGGGTCCGTACTTCAAGTCGTGGACTCTACTGAAGTTTTGGGCTCTTCTTCAATTCAAGCGGGGACTGGGGTGGCGTCATCTACGTAGAGTATAAGTAGAGTCATAAGATCCCTAACGGAGTCACCCCGGATATAACCCTACTCATAACCGACTTACTAAGTCTTCTGGGCCTCTAAGTAACCCTAAAACCCCCTTATAGAACCCTTATAGATCCCTGTCAAGGAGCACTTAAGGAAGCTTACTACGTACTTAGTAGGGCCCTTGGCAGACAGCGACAGGCTGTTTGTTCAGCCGTCCTGATCTTTACTCTCGGGACTCAGGGCTGGCTCTACAGCAGTAGTTTTCGTATAAATGTGGGGCCTTAATAAGTAGAATAGGGTTTTTAGGGGTCCGTTATACTATAAGCATAATAAGGAACCCAGGAACACCCATAGTATTTACCCTTATAGTACCCCTTAGAGGAATCCTTGAAAGGAGCCCTATTCTAACTATTAAGGCCCCTGTGGTACTCGCTTTTATTAAACCTCAAACCCGAAACCCTTAACCCCAAATCCAGAGCCCTTAACCCTAAACCCTTAACCATTAACCCCAAATCCAAAGCCCTTAAACCTAAACCCTACACCCTAAACCCAAAACCCCAAATCCAAAGCCCTAAACCCCAAAACCCTAAAACCTAAACCCAAATCCAAAGGTCTAAACCCCAAAACCCTAAACCCAAAACCCAGCCGGCGCGCGCTCCGGACTTGGAATTTGGTGCCACAGAGCGCCTTCGCAGGCTCGCACTTAGAGGCCCAAGAGACTTAGTAAGGTTTTAGGGTTTAGGGTTTAGGGTTTAGGGCTTAGTAAGGTTTTAGGTAGGGTAGTATAGGGTTCCTTAAAGGGGTCTGTAAAAGGGATCTATAAGGGTTCTATAACTGGGGTTTAGGGTTACTTAGAGGCCCAAGAGACTTAGTAAGGTTATAAGTAGGATAATATAGGGTTCCTTCAAGGCGTCTTTACAAAGGAACTGTAAGAATAACCTACTTACTAAGTCCACAGCGCCGTCCAGGCTTGCAGCTTCGGTTTTTGGAAGTCGGAGACAAAGCCCCTCTCAGGTCTTAGGGAATAAGCTCTAGCTGAAAATAAGGGAAAAAACCTGCATAAAGGGATAGACCTTAATTAAAGATTAGACCTTAGATGCGGAACATGCCTTAATCCTGCTCTGGTGCCGATTATGATTGAAGGTATATTCTGCAATTAAGCAAAATACCCTAAATCATACTCAGGTTCAGTATATTCATTAAGGAATACATCGTAAGTCTTGTTCTGGCCCCCAGTATAGCTTTACAGTATATTCCTTGCTTAGTGGGTTTTTTGTGTCAGTGGGAAGTCTGATTTCAGCCTCTCCTGAAGAATTAACTTGGGCGGTATATGCAATAGTGTTTTACGAGAGCTGATAGTGTTTTGTTTCTTCTAGGCTCTCCACTGCAGACGCTCAACCCCAAAGTCACCTCATGTCCTAACTCTTAACCCGCACAGTGCCCTCAGAAAGCCTTGAAACACCTAAACCCTAAATAAACCCTAAAAAGTCCAAAAACCTGAAGACCCTAAAACCCCTTAAGGGATGTGCCTATGCGTTGTCCGGCCAGGAGCTGGCTTAATGCGGCGCGTAAATCGCAACTTAGAACAGGGTTCGAGGGTATATTGTAGTCTAACCCTAACGCGAAACTCTGCGGAAGAGTAGTCGTCGTAGGTTCTTCAGACTTACACTTTAGAGTGTCGGCACCTACATCCTCAATCCGATCCGGCTCTCGGCATTGAGGTGAGGGTTCTCCTACGAAACCAAAGACTTCTCTCTCTGTGTCCTGGTTGCAAAATGCAACGGACCTAAGCCGGTATACCAACGAATCAAGAAGATCGCTGCAAGTGTGGAAAGCTTCGATGCGATCGCCCTAAACCCGAAACCCCCCCACAGATAAGACCCTAAACCCTAAAGCCTAAACTTGGAGCCAAAAACTCGTGGATGCAGCGGCCTGCAGCGCTAAGTTGCGAATCTCCGGCATGCTGTCCTGGTGGGAAGGAAGAGCAAGGGTTTGGGTCTTTGGGGTTTAGGGTTTCAGGGTTTGGGGTTTAGGGGTTTAGGGTTTAGGGGTTTAGGGGTTAGGGTTTGGGGTTTAGGGTTTAGGGTTTTGGGGTTTAGGGTTTAGATTTTGGGGCTCAGGGTGTGGAGTTTGGGGCTTAGGAGGGTAAGGGATTTGAATTCTGAGGCATGAACTCCGAAGACCTTGTGCAGTAGACCTTCTCGGAATCATCCGTGACCCAAGCTGGTGCAGTCTGATTCTCCTCGCATCCTCTGCCCATGTTCCAACGTTGTAGTTCATAGAACCTGGATACCTTTTCAAGCTGTTGCAACATCTCATAAGCACCCACCCAGAGAGCCCAATACCCCTTAATTAAGGAATATGGCTTAAATTATATAGGGCTTCATATTAAGAGTTAAGCTATACTCCTTAATTAAGGGGTATCGGGCTCTCTGGGCAGGAAACCAAAACGAATATATGCCGCATCGGAACGTGATAGGAGGGCTGTGCATCCAGCCCTGAGACGGAGAGTGCTGTTATCTGATGCAAGAGAGCCCAAAACCCAGCAACTGAGAATGTACCGTACGGTATACGGAGCTTCCTAGTACTACGGCTGATGGTATTATTCCTGCATTACCGTAATGACCATAGACTATGGGAATTATGGTATATTCTTTTTCGTGGGTAATGCAGGATTTATATCATCAACCGTAGGACATCCCCTGAATTAGGGGATATGAAGATTTCTGGGAAATTTGCCCCCCCCCCCTGCGTCCGTGTGGATCTTCAGGAGGAAGTCGTAGTGGAGTCCCTTGTTCCTCCAGTTTTCATAGGGTTGATGATATAGATCCTGCATTACCCATAATAAGGAATATGCCATAATTCCAGTAGTCTAGGGCCATCAAGGTAATGCAGGATTTAGATCATCAACCGTAGGGTTTTGACTTGGCGATGCTCTGGGTGGCCTCATTGAGTTTCCCGATCTAAAGAACTACATGTCCAGTACCGAGGGGAACTAAAAGGTAATCTTTGGGATTAGTTATATAGGCATTATGGTGCGCTACCCGAAAGAGGTTCAAGGCTACCTACTCTACTAGTAAGAAGAACCCAGTTTAACACGTCCCGAACCGGATCAAACCCGTCACCTAAGTTCAAGCAGGAACTCTCGTAAATTCTTCATTCAGGATAATGCAGGATTTCTTCTATCATGTTCAAAAGCTGGATTCTGCATGCTCTCTGTGGCAGTCCATCAACAAGATGACCCTATTATAGGGGCCTTGATAAGTAGAGTAGGGTTTTGGGGACCTTTATTTTTTAACTATAACAAGGACCCCCCGCCCTTCAAAAAAAAAGGTGTAGGTAATCATTATACTACGGCCCTTAGATTACAGGGGACCACACGCAAGAACCAACCTTACCGGAGTGTTCATACTGTAGGGGCCTTAACAATTAAAATAGAGTTTGGGGGTATATTATACTATACTTATAATATGGAACCCCCCAAAACCCTATTCGAATTATTAAGGCCGCTAACAGTATTCACCCGCATCGGGGTCCTGGGTCACGGCAAGCGAAGCCCATAAAGACGGTTGGAAGGAATGACTACGCAGGAGGTAAGAGCACGAAACCCTCGTAAGAACACTCTGCGGGTTTGTACACGATAAGATGTTCTGGGAGCGGTGGCAGCCCCAAGTGCATCAACTGATTTAAGGCTCTTCCCGATATTGCGCCCGCACCTTAACTCCTTATCCAAACCGAAACCGGGACGCACATCCCTACAACCCTCAACCCTACATCCCCCGACTTAGACCCCTAGCAAAACTTATAACTTCAGCTGTTTCTTAAGGGTTAAAGGAACCAAAGGTTAACAATAGTTCTAAGTGCCCCTAAGGAAGGACAGCCCAGCACGTCCGGCCAAGAGACTGCGCGTAGTGCAACTGCGACACGAAGTGTCCTGGACTTCGAAGTAGCCAGGGGAGAAAAGTACAGACTTTTATTTCATACTTGGTTCCCTCTAAGTACCAGGTCCCAAAAAAAGTATAGACTTTTACTTCATAGCTGGTTCCCTTGAAGTAACAGGTCCCCACCAAAGTATAGACTGTCATTTCATAATTGGTTCCCTTAAAGTACCAGGTCCCAAAAAACAGGTAAAGCATGGTACTCCAAAGCCCAGTGTCCCATGTCCATGCCCTTCGATGCCGACTTGGTCCTTGTCGTGTGGGTTTTGTTGGCGGGGGGTTTAGGGTTTAGGGCTTAGGGTTAAGGGGTTAAGGGTTTAGGGGTTTAGGGGTTAGGGGTTTAGGGTTCAGGCTTTAGGATTTAAGGTTTAAGGTTTTACTGTTGGGGGAGCGCTTAGGGTTTAGGGTTCAGGGGCTTCGCCGTTAAGGTCTGGGGGCCAAGTTTCCCAGCAGAAAAGATTAGACATCATCATGTTGTGCTTCCGAAAATCAGGGACTCCCAACATCGACCTGCCTTAGCATCAACACCGCATTGCCAAAGGCAAGTCCTACTCCTGAAGCTCTCTGCTTTCAAGCTTTACCCTGCCCCCACTGCCATGCCCGCAAGCTCCTCGAGCTAGGAGGCTTAGGCCCCTATATTGAATCCTTAAATAGCCCTTATAGCAACCGTTATAGTAAGCCTTATAGACTCCTTCAAAAGGAACCCATGAATAGACCTTATAGCAACCCTTGTAGTGGGTTTATGGCTTCGGGCTTGGTTTCTGGGACGCTGTGAGCGCTTTGTAAGCAGAGATCCTACATTGCTCCGCTCCCTGCATGCGCTCATGACAAAAACTAAACCCCTGAACCTTAAACTCTGAAAACCGCATACCCCAAACCGTAAAGCCCCACACCCAACTTTAGGTTCAGTGTGCGGGGTTTTGGACTTCTCAGGGAGCGCGCTGTTTGCCTCTTGAGCCGAAGTATTAGTCAAAACGATGACGTGTTACTGTAGTGTTCGGGGCCTATTGGAATGATTGAGGTGCTGAGGTTCTGGACCTTCTTCCTTAGTAGAGTGTGGAGCACTCCGAAAATGACCCTTGCAAGCTGTGCTACCTGTCAGCGCAGAAACATAAACAAGCAGGCACACAGAGACACCGGCACTTGTACCTTCCACAATCCTAAATCCGGCTTGAGGCTTCGCCCAGGAAACCACGCTTAAGGGTTTACGGCTGAGGGTTATGCTGCCGGTGTAAATCGCTTCGCCCTCACTTGCGAACAGCGGCAGGACCAGGTTCACGTAGCCGTGCTTTCCCCTGGAGACAGCTGAGGATCCCGCACCCTAAACCCATACGAGCCTTACCGCACGCGCATGCAAATATTCTGTGTATGTATAGACATATATGTGCACATAAGTGTACATGCAGGTGGTAATAGCCGGAGTAGCCGTCGACCACGTTGACGTCGCAGTCGTAGCCGTCGTGGTCATAGTAGCAATAGTAGCGGTGCAGTAGCAGCAATGGTGGTGGTGGTGGTGGTGGTGGTGGTGGTGGTGGTGGTGGTGGTGGTGGTGGTGGTGGTGGTGGTGGTGGGGGTGGTGGTGGTGGTGGTGGTGGTGGTGGTGGTGGTGGTGGTGGTGGTGGTGGTGGTGGTGGTGGTGGTGGTGGTGGTGGTGGTGGTGGTGGTGGTGGTGGCAGTAGTCGTAGTAGTAGTCGTAGTAGTAGTAGTAGTAGTAGTAGTAGGAGTAACAGTAGTAGTGGTAGTGATAGTGGTAGTGGTAGAAGTAGAAGTACTGGTAGTGGTAGTGGTAGTGGTGGTGGTGGTGGTAGTAGTAGTACTACTACTAGTAGTAGTAGTAGTAGTAGTAGTAGTAGTAGTCAGTAGTGGTCGTGGTGGTGGTGGTGGCAGTGTTGGTGTGGCGGTAGTGGTACTGGTAGTGGTAGTGGTAGCAGTGGTGGCAGCGGTGACGGTAGCGGTGGTGCTAGCGGTAGCGGCTGTGGTGGTAGTGGTAGCGGTATTGATAGCGGTTGGTAGTGGCATCAGTAGCAGCGGCAGGAATGGTAGTACTCGTCGTCGTAGTAGTAGTGGCAACAGCAGCAGTAGCAGCAACAGGAAGAAGTTGGGAAGTAGCAAGTAGCAAGTGGTGTTTCCGAAACCTTCAGCACTGCCGCGCGCATCTAACACGGGCCTGTGCGCGGCAGGCATTGAAGAACTTCCTACTTTCTCAAAAGGACCAGGAACCTCACACCATGCAGTGGATATCTTGGCAACGAGATGAAGGGACATGAAAAAAAGGACGGTTGCTAGTGGCACACTTTCGGGGCACAAATGCTCCGAGGGCCGACAGGTTGTGGCTTTGACCTTACAAAATTGTTTGTAATCAAACCCCTCACTATAGTCCGTAATTAACATGGAAAACGGGTATCATATACAGCAAACAATTCTTGTACATGTTACGTAAGATCCCCATATTACCCTAGGCTGGCAGGCTCGGGGCTTCCAAGGCTTGTCACCCTAAACCCTAAACCCCAAACCGTGAACCCAACCCTAAACCCTAAACCCCCTAAACCCCCTAAATCCCCTAAACCCCCTAAACCTCCTAAACCCTAAAGCTCTAGGCTTCGCAGCCCGCCTCATGTAGCCGGAGAGTTGATGCATCACTGCCTGCGAAGGTGCCGAGGCCTGGGCTTCCAGGCATTGTCACAGCCACCAGTTCCTTTAAAGGGAACTCCAGAAAGTTGGAATATGGATTAATGGTAGGATCCCCTATAATTTACCTTAAAGGGGTTACGATAATGATATTCCAACTTTCTGGCTTCTACTGTAAAGGGGTTTCTTTCAAAGGATACTATAAGGTACTATATTTGTTCCTTTAAAGGGATCTATAAGGGTTCTATAAAGGGTTTAGAGTTTAGGGTGGGAGCTTCCGAAAATTCGGGGTACCTTAGGGTTCCTCTAAAGGGTTACTATAAGGGTACTATAAGGGTTCCTTAACAGGACTCTATAAGGGGTTGAGAGTTTCCGAAAATTAGGGTTACCTTATTTTGGGGTTCTTGTAACAAGGATCCTACTATTCATTGTACTATATTAGGCTCCACTATTTTTGGAAGTCCCATCTCAGCGTCCTCCTACTAATAATCATAGCTCCACGTTCTGGCGGCGGTCTTCAGAGTAAACTGTAGACAAAAATCCTGGTTCTCCAGGCCGGGAAGCAACCAGGGAGAAATAGTATAGACGTTGATTTCATAATGGTTCCTTTAAGGAACCGGTACCAAAAAAAATATTCAAGTATGGTACTCCAAACCCAGGTTCTTGATTTGAGGGTGGACCTCGGTTGAGCTACCAAGCAGCGTTGACCTCTTGACCGTGGAGAGCGTTTGGGTTGATTCACAACGATGCGTATAAGTAATCTGGGGCGGGCCGTTCCGCTACCAACTTTAGGGGTGGTGTTCAGGGCTTGGGGCGCACGATTGTTAGAAGGTGAAAATTAACGAGGGCGACGACGACGACAAGGACGCAGAGGAGGACGAGGACGACAAAGAGCACCAGGACGATGCCCTGACGATGTCTAACCACCTCGCCAACACGATGCTCACAAACCTCTTCACGATAGTGTCAAAATCGGCAGATCTTGACACTGCTGGTCCTGCGGCTACTCACCATGACTGCAGCAGCTCAGATCGAGGAACTAAACAAACAGCATCATGAACCATCGTTTAAAAACCAAGAGAACTAACCTGAACTCTAAAACATAATACCGTACGAGCTAGCAATAGATGCGAGGCCTCCACGTAATCGATGTGCACCCCAATACCTCGGCCCAGGAGTCTTTGGATGGTGGGTCTTTTCGTTTTAGGGCTAAGGCTTTAAGAACCTAAACCATAAAGCGCCTTCAGGGATTACGTTTAGTTAGCAGGGAACTTCTTGTTGGGCGATATTAACCTCTTTTTAGTAGTACTCGTCGTAGTCGTAGTCGTAGTCGTAGTAGTAGTAGTAGTAGTAGTAGTAGTAGTAGCAGCAGCAGCAGCAGGAGTAGTAGTAGTAGTAGTAGTAGTAGTAGTAGTAGTAGTAGTAGTAGTAGTAGTAGTAGTAGTAGTAGTAGTAGTAGTAGTAGTAGTGGCAGTGGTGACAATAGTAGTGACAGTTGTAGAAGTAGTAGTGTCGTCGCAGTCCTCTTCGTCGTGGTAGTGGTGGATGGTTTTGAATTGTTGAAGGTGACATTGGTGGGTTGATTGTGAGGGTAAACAGGACGACTGCGACTGCGATGGCAGTGGCGGTGAAGCTGGTGCATGACTTTGACGACGGCGATGGTGATGGTGATGATGATTGACGACGATGGCGATGGTGAGCAGTGATGTTGGTGATCGATGATGGCGAAGCTCATGATGATGATGACCACGATGATGAAGATAATGATGATTCTGAGGTTGCTTTGCTGCCAACCGCCCTTACCACTTGCAACATTGTAATGACCACCGTCCACACGATGGTAGAAAAGCGCGTTCGAGAAATCCCAAACAGAGCCCGAACCCGAAGCCCATGACTAGTAATATCCACGAAAGACGTACACAAAAAGTGCCCAAACACGTGTGCTAGAACCTAAACCCTACTTCAAACTCCCCGAAGCCCGTGATCGGACAGGATGCGATCATTCGAGGCCGCAAACACATTCGAGAGACACTGCTCCATGTCCGGCCAGACCTAGGAGGAGTAGTAGTCGTGGTAGTAGTAATGGTAATCTACACAAGAAGAAGAATTGCATTGATAGCGACAAGAAGAATAACCAGTTTCGCCATCATCTTTAACAGCATCAATATTAATAACCACAATAATAATAGTACCAGTCCCAGTACTAGATATGGGACTGACGGAAGAATCACCATCGTCGCTACCACCAGCATCATCATCATCATAATCGTAGTTATAGTATCCACTGAAAGTTCATACACAATTCTGAGCGTTTTGGATTAGCAGGGTTCTACTTAGAGGCCCAGCGGACTTAGTAAGTAGGTTATAAGTAGGGTTTTAAGTACCCTAAATGGAGTTCCCCAATGATAACCCTACTTATAACCTACTTACTAAGCCCCCTGGGCCTCCAAGTAGAGGGCAGAAGTTGAGCGCTTAGGACTCTAGGCTTTGGCAGCCTCACTGCTGCAAGAGCTCTGATGTTCTCTCAAGGCTTTGTAAGATTCTGTGCAGGCCTTGTTTACGGTTACGCTTTAGGGATTTGGGGCCCCAGGGTTCAGAGTCGCCTGACTCCTGTGTGGATTTAGAGGTTTCAGGCTTGGAATTTTATAGCTCCAGACTCTAGAGCTCAGATTCGATACAGGCCAGGATGTCAGGCCACCGAGAGTCTTTGGACTTGGATTTCAAGTGTAGGAGCGCCAATGTCAATCACCTAAACATACACTGTTGCAGGGAATTTAAAAAAAAACACAAGAGCCTCTTGTCTTCAACACTTTATGTTTATGTGCGTGTTTCGGCTCAACCCTAAACCCTAAAACCCTAAACCCCCTAAACCCTAAACCCTAGCAGAACTTCTTCGGCCGGCAAGGGGCTTCACCAGTGCCCACTTGCACAAAGACGCCGATCTTTCCACTCAGGAAAGTCACACGCTCCATGAGTACGCTGGGCGGCGTGAACCTTTGCTAGGTTTTAGGGTTTAGGGTTTAGGGTTTTAGGGTTTAGGGTTCAGTGAACCTTTTCTAGTACCCATGAAACCTGCTTGACTCAAAGTTTCCTGGGCCGTGCCTCCTGGGAAGTCTTGCCAGCACTTAAAGGCTTGGGGGCTTGCGGCGCAGGCTAGAGGGTCTAGCAGGCGGGGTTCACACTTTAGAAAACCAACACATCCAGACCCAGGTACGTAATGTTCCTGAGCAAGACCTAACTCGCAAGTAGCCACAGCCAAAGTACGTGCCGCGAACCTCGGGACAAAAATCACCAGAGTCACAAAGAACCAATCAATCGGCTATAGGACATGAGTACTTGCTCCGCCCGACTTAGGTCAAATATCGAGGCCTGAATGGATGTAATGCGGATTCGCGGGAACGCTATACTCTAAGTCTTACCAATCTAACCCCATACCGTAAACACCAAGTCCTGAACCCTAAACCCAAAACGACTCTAAGTATACGGCGAGTCGAAGGAAGCTGCTTGTCAGTGAGGCTCCCCTGTTACCGCTGCGCTTTACCGTCACTGCAAGAGCCCCTCAACCCCTAAACCCTAAACCCTAAACCCTAAGGATGGATTGCCCGAAGTTCCAAAACCCCAAAGTCCCGAAGTTCGAAGCAGAGGTGCGCATCCCCAGGAGCCACCTGGCCGTTTTGAGGTTGCGACTACAGATTTAGGACTTGGGGATTTGGGCTTCGGCTTTCAGGCTTGCCGAGCTTTGAGGGATTCCATGGATCCAAACAAACTCGGCCACCGAAATCCTAAACCCTAAACCCCTGATGTAGGGGCCTCAATAGTGTGTTTTGGGAGCCCAGCACACTATCAGTATTTTTCGAATAAGAACCCCCCAAAAAGTACTGGTTACTGCTTAGGCCCCAAAAGTAGACCTTAGATTTAAACCTAAACCCTGAACCCTGGACTTGCTGTCGGTTTAGACCTGAAGAAGCCCTGAACCCCGAAGAAAGCCGGAAGAGTCCGCGTAATAAAAAGCCAGGCAACACACTAGTGATAACTTGCTCTACTGTTTGGGCGTTAAGTAAGATTAAGAGTCACGCATAAAACGGGTGTGTGAGTGTGTGTATATATACATATGTACATGTATAGGCACAGAAAATTACACACACACACACACACAGACATTGAAGGATCCAAATAATCAAGACCACCGTCAGCCCCGACAAAGGTAGGAGACCCCATGGAAACCCAAGGGCTCTCTTCGTACTCTCATCATTAGGGCCTAGGGCTTACGGTGCGGGAAGACCCCTGCTCATGTACACCATCCCCTACACCCCCACCCCCACGCCCCCAAACGGACCCTTGGAAGCAGGATCCTGACAGCTACGTAGCCCTACACTCAGGCACTACCCTAATGCTAATCAACCCTACATTGTATACCCAAAGTCTCCTATGAACCTGATTCTATGCACCCTTAACAGGCGATGCACATAACGTACCCCAACTCCAAGGGTAAAAGGAGGGACCCTTAACAAGGACCCCTAGGTATATACCCTTAATATGGCTATTATATACCCAGAATATAGCCCATTATAGTCCCCATCAAGGGTCCCTCCTTTTCCCCTTTGACCAACCCTAAGACGTAAGAAGGCCTGGGTCTGGTGACTTTGCACCACGCCCGCACTGGCGAGAAGGGCGACGATAGCAAGCAAAGCCATCTTAGAGCCTTGCTTTTTCGAGGCTCCGGTGGCGCTGAGGGCTTCGGTCGTGGATCATGGTAACAGCGTTCTGAGAGTTTCTCAGGTTCACCACAGCTGATGATAAAAATCCTTTAAATGGATCTACAGGGGTTCCTTTAAAGGGCTCTATAAGGGTTTAGGGTTTATAATATTATAAATCTGCATTACCCATAATAAGGAGTATGGGAGTTTCCGAAAATACGGGACCCTAATATAGTACCCTAAAATTGTAGGAGCCTTTTGATAAGGACACGAAAATAAGGTACCCTGGTTTTCGGAATCTCCCATATACCATAACTCCCATAGTCTAGGGTCAGTACGGTAGTCAGGATGCATACCATCAACCGTAGGAATCATGGGACAAGCATCTCTTCAGGTCTCGCTGAGCCTTCGATTTTAATGTATCAAAAACCAAGGCAGCAAAACGGTTGGTGATATACATCCTGCATTGCCGTACTGACCGTGGACTCTGGGAATTATGGTATATTTCGTATTATGGGTAATGCACGATATATATCATCAACCGTATGGGGGCGTTTGCTTGGTCGGGCATCTACCATTGTTCAGGCCCACAACAAAACAAGCGCTCCCCGAAGCCTGAACGAAATCTCTGAAGAGTGCGACCAGCCTCACGGTGCAGTCCTACACATGTAGCCGAGCAACTGGAACTCCCTGCAAACTTCACCTAAACCCTACGGGCCAAACCCTCAACCCTAAACCCTACTGTAGGGTCCTTAATAATTAGAATAGGGTCTGGTGGTACATTATACTAAAATTATAACCAGGAACCCCCAAAACCTTAATCTCATGACTACTATTATTATTAAGGCCCCTGTATTAAACCCTCTGCCCTTTCTGCCAAGCAGCGGAAGAGACGAATCCCCTTCAAGGGATCAGATCTCGTGGGCTCTGCTGCCCAGCAACTCTGAAAACTGCCCTTCCCCTGTCCTCCTATGAGGAGTGGGGCTTAAAAACCCTCGGGAGCGGCACGTGCGGCTCCTTCTTGAGATCTGTAGACGCGACTTTTCTGCCTGTTTCTTGCTGGCTGCTAGTAGGTCCTCTTTTTTTTGGTTCCGCGCCACTCCCGGAGGGGGGCACTTAAGGCTGAGCTGGGGTTCGGTGCTGAAGCGCCTCCTCTCAAGGCGGAGTGGCTTTTCTCCCACGGAAGAGAGGGAGCTCCAGCCAAAAACTGAAAGAAGCGGCGGCACGGACATTGACATGCATGACATGAAGCTTGAGGTACCTGTGCCCTAAACCCTAAACCCTAAACCCTAAAGGGGAGGTAGGGGGATTCTGCTGAAAAAAGGGGCTCCAAGACGTAGGCAGACTTTGCCAGGGCTGGGGCTTCGGGCTCCAGGTCCCTACTTGGAGGTTCATGGGTGTAGGGTTTAGGGTTTAGGGTTTAGGGTTTAGGGTTTAGGGTTTTGAGTAGGGTTTTAAGTAGGGTAACTAGACTTATAACCCATATTAAGGGACTTATAGCCCTACTTATAACTACCCCTGAACCTCCAAATACACAAGAAACCCTGAGAGACTTCAAAACACGAGGAATATTAGCCCCATGTCTCCAACATCCGAATCCCTACGAAAGCTCACCTCGGCATACATTTTGTGGATAAAAAGGTGAACCCACTCTGAGAACGCTTGGAGGATGAGTGAAGGAGCCTATGATAGCGGGTTGGGATCTTTGGATGCCCGAGTTTGATTGTTCGATTTCAAGAAATGTTGTCTGAGGATTCTGCTGTTTAAAGTTCCTGGTTTAAGGTTTACGGTTTCGGGGGGTTCAGGGCGTGTAGGGTTTTGGGTCCTGAGGCTTGGAGCTTTGCGGTTACCTGACCCCGTCGACGCCTAAGCTCTGGGCTCTGGGCCCAGGCAATACTGCAGGGGCCTTAATAATTAGAATGTGGTTTTGGGTTACCTTATACTATGACTATAATAAGAAACCCCCAAAATAGTATAGGTAATTGTTACAGAACACCCAAAATAGTATAGGTAATTATTAACGAACCCCCAAAATAGTATTGGTAAAAATCTAAGCTCCTAGATTTCCAGAAGGGCCCCGAGACAACAAGATGAACAGGCTAGCATACGCACCTGATTAGGCAACCTTGGGTCTCTATTAGGGTTCCTTATTCGGGTCCTCATATTTTGGGGTTGTAGGACCAGGGTTTCTTAATCAGGTTCCTACACTAAACTCCAAGCAGCTCTAGTCTCTACCCCGAGAGATCAGCAAGGGCTCTTCCCCAAGCCTGAACACTAAAAGCCCTAAACCCCTGGCGTCACTCAAACCTGCTTTGCAACGTAGGCCTCTTCCCTGTCATGTTGGCAAGGGTGCGACGCGACATGACCTGAGACCACGGGTGGTGGTAGTAGCAGTCGTGGTCGTAGCTGTTTTTGCTGCTGTAGCAGGAGCTGTGATAGGTTTAGTTGCCGCTGTTGTCGTTTTTTGTTGTCGTTGTCGTCGTTGCCGTCGTTGTCGCTGTATCCGAAGCGCTACGGAAGCTCACCTCGGCCTACATTCCCCAGATAAAAAGGTGAACACACTCTGAGAACACTAGGAGGATGAGTGAAGGAGACTATGACCGCGGTTAGGATCCTTGAATGTCCGAGTTTGCTTGGTTTCAAAAGCAATTGTGTCTGAGGATTCTGTCTCTTGAAACTCCTGCTTTGGGGATTTAGGGTTGAAGTCCTGAGGCTTGGAGTTTTGGGGTGAGGGCCCGTTTCCCTGCTACCTGACCCCGTCGACCCCTAATCTCTGGGCTGCCGTTGCTGTTGCTCTTGCTCCTGCTCTTGCTCTTGCTGTTGCTCTTGCTCTTGCTGTTTTTTTGTCGACGGTGTTGTTGCTGGTGTTGTTGGGTTGTTGTTGTTGCTGCTGTTGCTGCTGTTGCTGGGTGTGGTGGTGGCGGTGCTAGCCCTAGCCCTAGCAGTAGTCTTGAACATGTAAGTACCCCGATCACCCTTCAAGGCCGAAAGCCATCAGACCCTCAAATCCTGAGAATCGGAAATAAAATCTCAAAGCCTCCAAGATTAGGGTTTAGGATTACCCTAAACCCCAAACCCGCCCAAAACACAGCTCCCTCCGTGAACGGGGTTTAAACAGATCGAAAGAGCGAACTCCGAAATAGAAATCGAAAACCCAGCCTCCGCCAAACCTCGAAGGAGCCCCAATAGCCTACACTGAACCGTGCTTATAGAGTTTAGAACCCTGAACTCTAACTAGTTAAACCCCCAAAACCTCCTAAACCCCCTCAACCCCATAAGCTTAACTCCTAAACCCCCTTAAACCCCTCAGACCCTAAAGCCTAACCCCTAAACCCTATACCATTAAGCCCAAAAGAACCCTTAAACCCCTCAAACCCTAAAGCCTAACCCCTAAACCCTATACCATTAAGCCCAATTAACCCTTAAACCCCTCAAACCCGGCCTGTTCGAGGCATCTCTTGATAGCCCGGATGCGCGTGAACCATCTGGAGTGGAAGAAGCTCGCCTCGTGCGCGGCGCATATACTTCGGTTGATGATATAAACCCTGCATTACCCATAAGGCATATACCATAATTCCCATAGTTTAGGGTCCTTACGTACGGTAATGCAGGAATTATATCATGAACCGTTCCAGTACTGACCCTGGGGTTTAGGTTTCGGGTTTAAGGTCCAAGGTTTGGGGAATCCTAAGCATTTCCCAGCAAGGGCTCCTGAACATGGGTCTACTTCCTCACAGTGTATACGCGAAACTCGATATTGTATAACGAGTGAATCAAGACTCCCTACATCATAGAACCCTTCGTTTGAAACCTGTATAGCGACCCTTAACGGAGGCCTGCTCTGAGTATTGAGGCCCCACAGTGAACTCACCGCCGCCTTGCAGTTATTCAAGCCGAGGATGTAGAACAGCCTTGCCAGCAGCGCACCCGAAAGGAAACGAGGCAGAGTGTTAGCGAAGCTGTCTTGTGGACTTCTGATGGGCCGGGCTCTTCAAGTTTTAAGGTGCACAGTCTGCACAGTTCAAGGTTTAGGGCCACAAGGGATTCGATACAATTCTGCAGCTATAGGTGGGCAAGGGGGGGGACGGGTCGAGCGCATGCGGGCAAAGCTACGACGGAACTGAAAAGATAATCCCGTGCATCTAGCGGGGCGGAACTCCCGGAGTCTTCAGAGCCGCCGCTTCTTGAAGGCTCATGGGACTTAGCATTTCTTGGTATAAGTATGGTAATAATTAGGATAACACTACTTAGGAGACTTATAGCCCCGGTTATAACTCGACTTGCTAAGTCCCATGAGCCTTTAAGTACTTTGAGACAGCCGAACTTGCAAGGCTGAGAGTCTACACGCAGATCGAGTTTATTTGGGAGTTTCCGAAAATAGGGAGCCCTACTATAGTACCCTAAATAGTAGGATCCTTATGATCAGGACCCCCAAAATAAGGTACCCTAATTTTCGGAAATTCCGATTTGCAGCCTGTAGCTGCAGTTGCCCTGGCTGGCCGCCCTGCTTGAACAGCCATTCTATGCATGCTTGCACGATTGGGCAACTATGGGTTTGGGACGGTTTCGCGCTTGGGGTTTAGAGTGCATAGTTACCCATGGATCATGATAATGAGAGCAATCCCACAACCTGTCTAGGCTCACTTCCAGCTACTGAGGAAAGGAACTCTCAACTTCCAGGGTCCAAGGTTTTGAGTTTGGGTTTCAGGGTTTCGGGGTTGGGGCTTGGGAAATCCTGAAACTCCCAAGTGCCTCCTTGCTGCCCCAGGCACGGCAGGTGTCTTTTGTTGCACTTCAGACCGCGGCCGATGGGGCGAGGGACCAGCTTCATGGTGTGCTTGTACTCCCTGCCCAAGCCTGGGATACCCAAGGAAGAGAGCTTCCTTAAAGGGTTCGTTAAAGGGCTCTTTAAACGGGATATATAGGGTTCCTCAAAGGTTCCTTAAAGGGGCCTTTAAAAGGGAAATACAAGGGTTCTATAAGGGAGGGGCCGTAATAATTAGAATAGGGTGTTGGGGGATATTGTACCGTAACTATACTAAGGAACCCCCAGAACCTATTGTAATTACAAAGGTCCCTACATTACCCAAGGAAGACCCTGTGTTGCAGGGCTTCGAAGTGAAGGTTGTTCGGGTTTAGGGTTCAGGGTTCAGGGTTTGAGATTATGGTTTAGGGTTCAGGGTTTAGGGCTTAAGGTTTAGGGGTTCAGGTCTAGGGTTTAAGGTTAATGGTTCAGGGTTTAGGGGGATTTGGGGGTTTAATCTAACTTGAAATCCTGCTGTGGAAGCTCGTATGCTTGGTGATCCCACAGGATCACCGCAGATTGGAACCCTTCGCAGCTGCAGCCGAACATCCCAAGTAAACTTTGGACAGGGATGCCCGCCACTCACGACTGTCAAAGTCGTGCAGGGCTGAGTTTTGCAGTGCCGCTACACTATAAGGAAAACTATGTCAGCAACCCCAAGGAATGATATAAAACCATTTAGGCCATCGAGAACGGAATAAAGATTGCTAGTGGTTCAGCCTCCCATGTTCACTCAGACTCACGACTCCATCATCGGAGCAGAGTTGACTCTGGGATGCCCATGGGATCCCGAACGAAGGGTCTTCGGTCTCCGAAAGTCCGAAAGCAGCTCCACGAATAGAAAATGAGCCTGAAAACTGTGCAATTGCATTCTTGCGGATTCCCTCATCTGCTTTTAACAGTAGTTCCCTCAAATGCTTCGAATAGCAGTTCCCTCATATGCTTACAAGAGTCGTTCCCTCATATGCGCTTACCTCTCCTGCTGATGATAGTACTTACCGAATATGCCTCTAGTCTGTGCTTGTTTTTTCACTCATAAGAGGGTGGTTGTCAAAATGATGGTCCCTTTTTGGATCCTTACCATAATACGGCACCTAAGTACCCAAAAAGAGACCATCATTTTCACAACCACCCATAAGAAGCCTCCAAAAGAGTATCTGTCTCACCCTGTTCCCTCGATGGTGTGGGGAGTGCAGGGTTCGTCTCTGTTGGGTACCGTCCATGGGACGTTGAAAATTCAGGAGGATGATATAGGGGCCTTAATAAGTAGAATGGGACTTCGAGGCCCATTACACTATAGCTTTTTAAGGAACCCCATTATACTACAGGTTTTTAATAGTATTGGCAATTAATTATTGAGGCCCCTATAGTAACTGTGCGGCAAGGCTGCTTCGCAGATATTACAACCCCAGCGTCAACCTGACGTAGACAGAAAACATCAACCGACGGCACTTGGGCGACAACGTGGCCAGCATGGCAAGCGGCATGGCGTTGTGAGCATGCGGCCGGAATCGTAGTCGATGTAATCCAAATTCCTTTGCCCAACTTCGGCTTTATCACACATCGATGCACAAAACACCGAGCCCGAACAACATTACGACATTGACAAAACCTGTACACTGTAGACAACCCCTTTGCCCTTTGGCCCAAACGAATGCACACCCCTATACTGAACTTAGAACCCTAGCAAAAATCATATTTTTAGCTGTTTCTTAGGGATTATAATAAACAAAAATTAAAAAAATATTTCTAAGTACCCCTAAGACCCATAGAATAAAATCGCTCCTACCACTCCTCGAATTCAAGATCTTGCTGCGTTGGGCTCGGAAGATAGATTGCCCTTTTGGCCTGGCTGGTCCCAACCCCCCCTCTCCCCAACCCCCAAGGGTTTAGGGTTTAGATTTAGGGTTTTCTGCAGTTATGAATGGAATCCTTAACATGTGCTGGTCAGGAATATTTCCTCAACTGCAGCTGGTGAACCCTTGAAAGCAAAAGCGACATAGTTGCCTCAAAAGCCTTCAAAAGGAACCGCCGGGCTCAGTTTGGCAGGATTCTGCAGCGCCTTGAGCATGGCGTCGGAACGGCTCTCCTGCAAGACGTCCGGTTTGGGTTTATCGGGATCAGGATCTGTTGTTTAGGCATAAGGGCTTAGGGTTTAGATGATCAGGGTCGCTTTTTTTTGTGTTTTCGAGCGGTGTTGGGGTTTAGGGTCTGTCCAAGACGTCGCGCGGGGCTTTGGTAAGAATTGTTGGAGAATGCCTCATTCAGGTTTGGGGGATGAAACATCGACGATTTTGAATGGAGGTTGCTAGTCCGAATAGACAACAGGGGATGTGAGCCTACTCCATGCGTCTTGGTGTTCATGTCTTCGCGACCGGTGACCCCAAACCCTACTCTAGGGGCCTAAAAAAATTACCAATACTATTTCAGGAGCAATTTAGGGGTTCCTTATTAGAATTGAAATATAATGGGCCCCAAAATCCTATTCTCCTAGGGCTATTAGGGCCCCTATGTTAAACCCTAAAATCCCCAAACTCAAACCGCTTGCCCCAGGGCCTTGGGAGTATTGCCGAAGCCGACGCCGAAACCGTAGACACCGTTGCCGTTTCCGACCTCTGTAATCTTGGATCTGGGTTTAGGGGCTTAGGATTTAGGGTTCGGAGAATATGACTTTGTGCCAGGTGGGTGTGAAACCGACTCGCGGCTGGAGAGAAAAGGATTTCAACCCGCGGAAGTTGGGCTATGCAGTGCGGATCAAAAACAGAAAGCCGCTCTCAGTCTCGGACGGCAGCTACCAAGTCTTACAGGCTTAAGGCTCATGATTTCTACTCTCATTTGTGGTTTGAGGATCAGAAGGTCGAAGCTTGCAGGGTGCACAGCTTAGGATTGCAGTTCCGTTTGGAGATTCGGATCTCGGCGCATCCTGCATCCTGTTGAAATGCACACTGGCTCGCCTCGGCAGCCTCAGCATTGGGACACCATCAGTACATGTTTTCCGGTGACGTTTGAAGATGCTTTAATGTGGGCTTCAGGTGCCCAGCTCTGTGGACTTCGTCTTCGGGGTTCGGGATTCTAGGGGCACATCCTGTTACTTGGAGCTTCGGGTGTGGTAATTATGAACTAGGCTTTAGTGTGGGTTGGAAGTTTAAGGCTTTATTAGGACGGCTGAGGGCGTCACGACCACGATCGCCCGGAAGTAGGCGACACGGCCGACGGCGCACATGCTTCCTGACGTGCTAACGGACTCTGGTCACTTGACTTTTCCCCCAAACTCCGAAGAAGCCTGAGAGTGTGGGTGCACCTCCTGCGGGACATGTACGGAACATGTGCAGAGAATACGCAACATCCTATGTAATCTTGAAGTTGTTCGGGGCTTTGCCACGAAGTATTCGTGGTCTGCGGTCCAGTGCTTGGAAGTACCCTCATCATCGTCCTCACCATCGTCATCATCATCGCCAGCATCATTTCTTTCACCGTCATCATCATCATCATCCTTATCCTCATTGTTATCTGCCTCATCGCCATCATCACCTTCATTGCCAACCAGCATGCCATGAACAACAACAGCAAAAACAACAGCGGCAGCAACAAGACAGTGAGCAGTATCGTCATACACATCAACATGAACATCATCACTGCCAGCAAGAGCAGTGCCATTATCATCACAGTGATGGCCCAACCCACCGTCATCATCACCACGACACCATCATCATCATCATCATCATCACATCCACCATCATCATCGACATCACCATCATCACCACCGTTTTTCTTGAAACAAGCATGCTCTGGCAGCACAGGCCCGGTCATGGCTAGGGCATCTGGGAAACGTACCTATTGCAAGAGGGCCACAAGCACAGCAGTGCAAAGCCTTCCCTTATGGAAGCAAGCTCAAGGCATCGGATGCCCGTGACACTAATAGTGAGGGGCCTAAATAATTACCAGTACTATTTCGGGAGTTCCTTATTATAGGTATAGTATGGTACAATGGGCTACAAAACCCTATTCTAATCATATTATTATTGTTATTATTGTTATTATTTTACTATTACGCTTACTATTACTACTACTATTATTAATTATTATTACTATTATTATCATTACTATTATTATTATTATTATTATTATCGAGGCCCCTATGTTATAGACCTCGAGCTCTCGACGCTGTGCCTTAGCCGCAGCCATGAACCCCGGATCCTCCACAACTGCCCGCAAAAAAGCCCCGGGCCGCCAGAAACTACTGAGTTCTACCCACCCTCAGGGAGCTTTTAATGATGTGGTTTAGGGTTGAGGGTTTAGGGTTTAGGGTTTAGGGTTCAGGGTTTAGGGTTTAGGGTTTAGGTTTTAGGGCTTAGGGTTTAAGGTTTAGGGCCTGACACAGGAAACCGAAACATTATGCCCAGAAAATCTGAGAACGAAGCTCAGGTCTTGAAGCTCGCTTCACACAGCCCCCAACCCAAGTCGGTTGAGGCACGCATGCGACGCACGTCCAGCATGTGCTGACGCATCCCACGGAGCTCCTTTGCTGGAGTCATGGGAAGAATTTGGGTTTAGGGTTTAGGGGTTTAGGGGCTTAGGGTTCAGCGTTTAGGGTTCTGGATTAGTCATGGGAAAGATGCTGGAAAGAACTGGCACTGCTACTGCTACTGCTAACATACGGTTGATGATAAAATATGCTGCATTACCCAAAATAAGGAATATACCATAGTTCCCATAGCCTAGGGTCATTAAGGTAATGCAGGATATATATCATCAACCGCAGTCACGACTACGTTGCTACTGCTAACACAATAGCCCAACGAATACTATTGCTGCTGCTGCCAATCACTTTGCTACGACTGCTGCTCCTCCTCCTCCTACTACTACTGCTACTACTACTGCTACTACTACTACTACTACTACTACTACTACTACTACTACTACTGCTACTACTACTGCTACTACTACTACCACCACTGCCACCACTGCCACCGCTGCTACCACTGCTCCCACTGCTACCACTGCTCCCACTGCTCCTGCCACAACTA